GAAGTGTTCGCAGAAACTCATTCGTTCATCGATGAAGAATACGGATTTTGATTGTGATTCCTTTCATATCAGAATGTTGAGTTGGTTTAAGCTGCTGCAATCAAACTGATTTGACGTTTTTTTAGCATATATTAGTTGTTTGTTGCAACAGGAGCTTTTCATTATGAGTTTTATATCGTGGTTTTACTGATTTCTCATGATTTAAAACAAGTTCAGTTGATTCAAAATGAGTTCTGGTGACTCAACTGAGTTTTTAGTGATCTAAATCAGTTGTTTACCTCTTGTATTCAATGATTTAAGCAATAATATAGTTGATAAACTTTTCCGGAGATGAATGCCGTAAGAAACAGAAAACTTCTTCCAGGAGAAAAATCAAATTTACATCCGAACATCGCAAACTCATTCAGAAAATAGATAACATTGATTATTTTGATTTTGATGAGTTTTGCAATGGTATTTATCATAAATTCAAAAGCATTCTTCCGTTAGATAAATCAATACAAGAGATAATGAATGGATTTGATTGATATACTTAGCACCTAATAGCCCTTCATTATTTTGCTTCAGTCTATTGATCAGAGACTAAGCAGATTATTTATTGTTTTATGGCCTTTTTCTCTATCTGCCTCGTTCTAAGCAAGCAAATCGTATTGGTGGTGGCTGTCACTATAGAATAAAGTAACAAGAGAATCGTTCTTTGAAGATATTCTCATACACATCGAAGTTTTTATTAATAACGCATTTGTGCATAATGGTTGTATGGAGTCAGCATCGATAAAGACTTGTAGTCGAACTGGATTACTATACAGATGAAAACATGGAAAAGGATCCGAATCTGATCAACCTGAAAAATTGATGATCAAAAATCATTTATCGAGAATACATCCTATTCCGCAATGTTGCACATTTGGGAATCAGTTCCGCACACGGAATCAGTTCCCACGATTCCGGAATTACACCCACCCACACCCTCACATTCGTGTCGCTTCTGCGAAAGACAATTCCCGCGAGAACCTTATGCGTAACTCTATTCGATCTAGAATACATCCATAGATGATGATTCGACGAAAACGTTATATCAATTACACCGGTTCACTTTTTTCGACATGCCTGGTACATCCCAGATCGAACAATCCGGCGCGGAAACGGCCGGTTCCATGGTATTCCGGAGATTTCATGGAATCCTGCTTCAGGAATCATCGTCCTGGGTTACACGAGAAGCGACACGAAGAAGCTAATTCGAATGAATCAGTTGAATTTGGCGATGAGAAGAATAACCTCGTAAGCTTAACTTGGTGTTGTGTTTTCTTCTTTACTCTCTTCGATCAAATCGACTTAAATGAGTATGACAAAGAAGTTGAAAGCATGAAAAATTTGTTCATCTCCGTCTAGTTATCTTTCTCTTTTTTTCGACCAACATGACCTTTCTTGAATGACAATGACGGAAAATAATATACATGCAATCGCGGGTAGCCAGTTATAAATACAGACTGAAAAGAGAGAAGAAGTTCATTCGTGTGTATTGTCAGTAAAAACAGAGAGCAAGGATGTCTGAAAAAGCAAATGTTAGTGTACATCAATTCTGAATATCTATCTGATTCTAAAGCTAATGTATTTTTTATTGGCTTTAGGATGAAATTCAATTGGCAATCAACATGGCCGAGTTCATCAAGGAAATGCAGGCTATGTTTGCTGCAAACCCAACCGTCACCGTCAACGTAGAAACGTTCAAGGCACCGGAAGAACAACATCATATACCAAAATTGTGATTAAAACCTGAACAGAAGATCTTTGAACGAAAGCAAAGTGATATTCAATTGGAACAAGAAAAATCGATCGAAGAAGGACACGTTGCTTTCATTCATATTGTTATCATTTTGAACATTTTCGCTGTCTATATTTTTCTTAACAACACATGAATGGACTTCACTCTTTTCTTTTTGATATGTACCGTAATTGTCATCCAAGAAAGATAAATAGACGAAGATGGATAAATCTCTCATGTTTTCAACTTTGTCATATTCAAGTCAATTTGATCGAAGAGAGCAAAGACGAAAACAAACAAAGTGAAACGAAAATTTTCGCGGCCCTATGTATCGAACTCCACAAATTACAAATAGTACTACTAAAACAACAAATACTTATCTGAGATCGCTTGTGATGAATTTTCAAAGTTTCAGAACAAGAATATTTAGCTTCAGTTTTTAATGTAAAGCTATGAGAGGAAAACGCAACGAAAAGATATTGATAACAAAAAACAAGATGATTGGTCTCGTGCTCACCAAGTTGTTACCGGTTTTGAATTGCGACTAATTCGTCTAAGAGGAGCTTTGTTAGAAGTACGATTCTCTTTCGAGACAGTTCCCCTCCATCCTACATCTATGAACAATTCTACATAACGATGCAATAGTGAATAAATAGTCTTCTGAACAGCTCTAAAATGTTACATAACTCGGATTGATGTTCAACCTTAAAGACGAATGATAGCGTGGCTGAACGGTAAAATCTGTCTCCCAATCTCCCGCCATACGAATGCAAGAAACCGTCTTGAATATAGTTAATTCAACTTCTAAATGTGAGAGTAAAATGTCGAACTCTCTACTTCGACTCAGTCTCGAATATCTGCGAGTATAAATCTACTCTCAAATCGTATTTCCAGACTTATAGAAACTCAGTTCGATTTTCGACATTTTTAGTTGACCATCTGTTAGTAAATCCTTGTCCACTTGTAGCAATACTAGTGTAAAAACTGAATATTCGATTGTAGGTGGACAAAATCATTTTAATAGCGACATGACATCGTACACTTTCAATATGTATATCTCTGGATAAAGGAGTTCGTCTCAGGCTGATTTTTTTACACCACATGTATGCTAAGTTTGTCATATATACCTTGTAAAAATTCAGTACTGGAAAACCTTGCTAGTAGAAGCTGCTGCTAAAAGTCTGTCGTTGGCGACGTGAGTGAAAAAAGGACATTAAGTTCCATTATGAGCATTTTAGTTTCAAAACTGCGAATTTAGACACTTCAAAAATCTAATGGTATCTTTTGTAGATGGCTTTCAAAGCTACAGAATAGCTGTTCAACCTTTTTTCTGACTATATTTAAATTTTCTAAAAAATCGTGTGCATTTGGTGTTAGTGACGTGACGAAATCGTTAGCAATGTGACAGAGTACGAAGATATGAACGAAAAAAATGCTTGTATAACTGATCGAACATAGCTTTGAAAATGATACAAATCCTTCCTCAAGATCGTAAGAGTATGCTGAAACAAAATATTTTCTTGTGGAATTTGATGGGACCTCTAGAGGACCGATTTTTATGAGAAAAATTTTTGGAGTCCGATTTTACTGAAAATTATACCATATATGTGGCTCCAAAGCTTTCAATCGATACAATTGCCAGTGCATTTGAATAGTCTACTTTCATGACAGAACTTGTTTTCGGTTGAAACGATAGTTACGAACAAGTCTGATGTGTCGCTATGATTGAACAAGAATGCTGTGATCTTTGCCTTGTTTTCGTTCATTCTTAAATTTTGTCTTTAGATGAGATTTCTAGTTGATAAGCAAAAAATCGCGGATATTACTCCGAAACGAATGGCTGAAATGTTCGATTAATTTATTGATTCGCATATATTCTTACACTATGTATTGTATCGAAAGAAGCTAATGGCATTGTTATCATTTGACATTGTCGGATTGGAACTCTCCGTCTAAACAATTGTTTTATGAATAATTTATCACTCTTCGGGGTTAGATTAACAAAGTCATCCAATCTCTTTTCAAAGGACATCGTCATAATGATGAAAACCCATTGATTTCAATAAATTCACCTTTTTATTTATATCCTTTCTTGGTCGATAATGGATCGATTTATAACAATTTTTTAAAAAGTATTCAACATGTCGATAAGAAGCGTATAGTTGAAGTAATTCGCTCTTACCATCGAGAAGAAGAACATATGTAAGATAAAATTCACATTCGAACGAATGAGAATTGAAGGTTATCATCGAACAGTGCTATAAACAGAACGACAAAGTCAACCATGTACATACACTACCATTCATTGCGAATGATGAGTTGAAAGAACACCAGCGTGTTCAACAAGTTATTCCGTGTCAGGTTAGTGGCCGTTTTCACCTTTTCACTTCGATTACAAAAGAAAAATCAATGATTGTATTTTTATAGGGTTAAAAATGATTTATAGAACGATTCAACATCTACAATAGTTCCTACATGACAGCCGCAGGAAATCACGAAGTGACTATAACCTACCATCCAAAATGAGACACCTTGTTGTCAATGTTCAGCAAATTAACAATAAACGTATGCGTTTTGTATTCGTAAATTGTGAGTGCCCCTGAATGTGTGACATCTGTATTATCTCATAATAAAACAAAAAGCCAGTTAAGTTTTATGTGGAATGATTTTATCTTTTCGATGCCGACGAAGTAAGATTCTATCGATGAGATTCGAAACAAAAAATGTCAAATGATAAATAATGTGAAGTTTAAACATATGTTCTCTCTCTCTCGTGGCTATTTTCAATAAATTAATCTGTTACTCTGCATCTTTATACATTATTTGTCATTGGGGAGAAAAATCTGATGAAATCTTTGAACAAGCACATTAACAACTACGAGTGTTTTATTTTTATTGTGTTATGAATTATTGCGGACAACATATATTTGTTTGTTTATATTGGAGTTCCTTCGGTTTCCAGAGAATTTCTTTCTTCGCATTAATCCACCGTAAATGACCCATATCCGATATTACCAAGCAGAATGGTCCTCCGTCACCTCCATTATGAGTACCACTACCCCATATAGCTACACCAGGCGCATAAACAATCAGACTACGGTCTCTTTGAAGTTTTAGCTCGACTCCCAGTTTTGATTTTTGTTCTGCAAGCCAAATCGAAGTTGAGGTGACATTTCCGTATCCATCTGTTTTATACACACCGAATTGACCATTCAATAGACCAGTTGCATATGTTTGTGACGTCGGCGAATACAGAAACTCGTTGTCAAATAAACTTTTATCGCTATCGTCGGTGCAAAGAGATGATGTTGCAGCTGAAAGTAAAAGAAATATTTATAATAAAACAATCCATCTTAATACAGCATTCCTGACGTAATATAAACTACTGGAAATTGAATATGATTCTTAAATTTGTGATGATTAGTCTGACTGAAATATCATCTTATATTCCGTCATTGCAATCACATATTTCATTTATCCTTTAGTCAAATGGTACCTGGAGTGGTTGTTGTTTTTGTTAGGAAAACGGTCTTCGTTGTTGATGCCGCATTCGTTGTAGACGAAGTTTTTGTTGTTATCGTTGGAAAATCAGTCTTGGTTATTGATGTCGCGATCGATGTGATGAATGATGTTCGTATTGTTGAATTATTCATCGCATCAGCTACTCTCCCTTTTAAGAGCTTTAGCGGAACAAGAATCACTGCTATGACTATAAGAATAGCCGGGATTAAACACAACACCTTTAATAGTCGCCTTCGCTTCCTTGCAGTTCTAGAACAAAAATGTCTTTGTAAGATGTTGTTGAATCGAAAACAATCTTGATACTACCGTTGTATTCTGTCATTTGACAAGTCAATTGTAGAGTTGTCGCTCGGAGGAAACTAAGAAATAAGAAACACAAGAGAGAACTTGATTTCATTTGATAATTTGAAAGAAACTACATGATTGGCATTGACATCTTGTGCATTTGTTGGTGATATTTTATTCATGTCGAAGGAATCGATACGATGAAATCTAAATGTAGAAAAAGACGAGTATTTGAATGACAATAATAAACGTCAAACTCAGATCTCACTTATACTAACGGTGCCAAATATGTTGTCAAGTGAAGAATGTTTTTCATCCTCTGTATTTATGAAATGTGGAAATCCATCAAATACTTTTTGTTGATTCATGCTTCTATGAATAATAATAAAAAATGTTCTGAGAATCTAAGAATTAAAAACAACAACAGTTTTGTCAATACTGATAACTGAACTGAATTATAAGATATATGAAGATATCGACAAAGAGAAATGCAAAGATTTCATCGAAAATAACTGAGTTTAAATCTTATTGGCTTTGATTTTCTTTTTCGATTGAAATCTACGATCGAAGAATGATCATATGGAGATTCATTATCAATTCAGCAACTTGTTTTATCAAGAAATGAAAATCTGCCTGAGCAATATTCTATTTATATCCAAATATTGGAACGTGTCCATTGCAGGAACTGCTAATAATTCATTAAAAGTTGATTTTCTGTGCTTATTCTACATTGCTTACTAATGATAAGATTTAATTAAATGTGTGTTTTTATTTCTTATCCGGTGTCAAAGAATATATATGAGATAAGATCGTCATCTGACAGTGCGTTATGTATATAGACCGAAAATGTTTGTGTGGAAAGATCATTTGAGGAGAATGTAATGGAAAAATTATTATTGCTAAAACTAATCTACAATTTATATTTTATGAGTCTTTTCTCTTGTTATGTTATTATTCGTGCAAACAACAGTTGTTCATTTCTTTCTTCAGTAGAATTTGTTTGCCAAAGGATCCTTTTATCTTTATCAATCCATCTTAAATTTCCTGTCTCTTCCATTTTGAGACAGAATGGTCCTCGGTCACCTCCATTATAAGTGCCACTACCCCATATTGCTTCAATAGATGAATAGACATGCAGACTACGATCTCTTTGAAGTTTAAGTTCGATCCCCAGTATTAATTTTTGATCTGCAAGCCAGATTGAAGATGAAGTGACATTTCCATACCTGTATGCTCTATAGATACCGAACTGACCATTCAATAATCCAGCTGCATATGTTTGTGACGCCGGCGAATACAGAAACTCGTTGTCAAATAAACTTTTGCCTTTATTGTCAGTGCAAAGAGGTGATAGTATACCTGAAATCAAAGAAAAGATATTTCTGTGCATAAGTCATCGTGCTCAAATCTCATTTGTCTTTCGACTAAACGATTACTTGGTGTACTTGTTGTTGATGCTGTACTGAATGTATTGGGTGTTTGTTTTGATGGATCATCCACTGCATCTGAGTTTTTTGTCGTTAAGGGCTTTATTCGAAGAGCAATTGTTACTGCAATCAAACCTATTACCACGATCAGACATGACACCAGTAATGCTCGTTTTTGTATAATCCGAAATCTGAAGCAAATACCTTCTTCAAGGTTTTATTCGATGCAAAAAAGGAAATAGATGCAACCTTGCTATTCGATCAATTGATGGTTCAATTGTGTCATTGTCATTCGAAGGAAACTATAAAAATGAGAGAAAAGTTGGTTTGATCATCCGATTGCACAGATATTACATTATTAGTATCGGTATTCTCTACGTTCGTCGGTGTTATTTTAGTCATGTTGATAGAGTTTAAACAGTGATCATCAAAGTAAGTGTATGAATAAAAAATGCATCAGATAAAATTTTAATCATGTTTCTGCATTTATTGACTTTTTGCGAAATATGTAAGTATTCTCTAATCGACTATTTCATACCATTGTGCAAATACTTATGAAGCGGAATTCTTCAATTCAATATTGAGTTCACCAAATCATACAGTTCAAGCATGTGTTTCATATGCCTATAAAATAATTCGATATATGACCATTGACTTGTCATTGAAAAGAACCAGATAAGAAATCCATTAAAACGAACGTCATGTGAGTTAACCTCGCCACGTTATAAATAGAATGAAAAAATCGATCAGTTACATGTAGAGTTTCATTTATTGACAATGCTCTTCAAGAACACCAGTTGTTCAATGATTGACTTTGTGTAAAGTAAGTCATCGTTTTCTTCTTTTCACTTCATCAAAAATAGAACAACTGATTTCATGAATGATATTCTATATTTTCAGGTCCCAGTATGACTTGTAAAACTACGAACATATGTACAGAACCTTGTCGAGCCGTACTCGTGAAATTATGAAGTCACTTGTAATCCCTGTGTCTTAAAAATAAAAATAGACTTTAGACCATCATCATACCCCTTAGGTTTTTGAAATACTGAAGTTGTAAACTGTAACAAGAAAAAAATTAAATTGATATCTGCATTATACAGGGAATGTTATTTCCTTTTCAACATCGATTACATAGGATTTTATTCAATAACTTCCGGAATGAAAATGTTGCAAACTATTAAATAATACAAAGATACGAACTTCGCGCTCATTGTTGTTTCCGATACTTTATGCACTTCATCAGTTTTAGCTCAGAAATGGTTGAATTCAATCTTGATAACGTGATTATTGAACCGACACGATTTGATCGAAAAGTGGGATATATCCGTTGCTTTGTTGTCCTCGGTGGGCGTGTTAGAGATATTGAACAAGACGAAACAAAACTCAGACTACCTTGCTTTTTGCTCGCTCGATAATTTAATTGTATCGTTGTGTTACTTCGATGAAACTATCGAATATAATCAAACAAAAAAACATAATTTCATCTCAATCTCTGCTATTGAAAACATGTGGAAATTAAAAGCTAGAGCAACTGACTTCTTTTCTATATTTATTACTTAAAAATTGTAATTTATTTAAAATATATTGTGCGTCTATGTTTTATGGAAAAGCGAGCCTTATAAAAAATTGGAATCGAGCAATGTGCAGTAGTTTATTAAGATGAATAATAAGTCCATTGAACTCGACCACATTGCGCACGATTATTTTTTGCTTGTTCAATGAATTCATCACTGATATGTCCTGTATAAATCATTCCAGTCGGCAAGGTTAAACGACCTTCTGCATTTCTTTCTCCGGTTTTCCATTCGCCTTCGAATTTCAGATTATTGCTGTAATATTGAACACCTTTTCCATGTTTTCGATTCTTCTTCCATCTTCCAGAATACTTTTGTCCATCAGCTAAAGTCTCAGTTCCTTCTCCATTTCTTTCATTGTCGTCCCAATCTCCTTCATATCGATCACCATTTTTCTTAATTTCTGTTCCTTTGCCATGTTTGGAATTGTCATCCCAATCACCCTCATATCGATCACCATTCTTCTTAGTTTCCGTTCCTTTGCCATGTTTGGAACCATCATCCCAATCTCCTTCATATCGATCACCATCTTCGTCTATTTCAGTACCTTTTCCATTCATCTCGTCGTTTTCCCAATTACCTTCATATTTATATCCATTACTCATAGTTAAAGTACCATATCCATGTTTCTGATCATTTTTCCATTGTCCTTCATATCGATCACCATCTTCGTCTATTTCAATACCTTTTCCATCTTTCATACCGTTTTTCATCTCACCTTCATATCGACTACCATCGGGATAGATATAAACACCGTCGCTTCCTTGTTTATCATCTTTCCATTGTCCTTCAAAGCGCCGACCATCAGACCAGATGTAAACACCTTTTCCATGTTTCTTATCGTTTTTCCATTCACCTTCATACCGGTCATCATCAGTTGTAACTTCGATACCTTCTCCACTTTTAACGTTATTCACCCAATCACCTTCATAGCGACGACCATCTGACCACGTAAACGTACCTTTTCCATGCCGTTTATCATCCTTCCATTCTCCGCTGTATTCATCTCCATTGAGCCAGGTGAAAACACCTTCTCCATGTTGTTTATCATCTTGCCACTGACCTTTATATCGACGACCATCGGGCCAAGTGTAAACACCTTGTCCACATTTTTTTCCGTCGTCTAAATCTCCTTCATAGTTTGGATCGAGAGCTGTGGCAACTAAAATACAAACTTCCGATTCATTCTCTGCTTTATCGAAGACACTTTACTTTTTTCAGAATTTGGTATTAACAGTTGATAGTAGTCTTTCTTATTCTTGCAACTAAAAAACAACGATGTAATATTATATAAAGAGTT